AAAATGGTTAAATCTCCAGAACCTTTAAACAAACTAATGCCGTTCCTCATGGGTTGGTATTGAGTCCTACAATTTGTATATTTGCTTTAAACAATATCTGTAAAAAAAATTGAGCTTTCAGTCAAGTTTGGAGTCTAAGAAGATGATTTAATAATTTTCTGCCGATGCAAAGACACCGTTGCGACTTGCAAAATAGTTCAGACTGCTACTGACCAATTTCTTGAATAGACTTTAGTATGTTGATTTAATTTTCCTGTTGAGAAGATTAAAATCACCAAGTTTTATTGCAGAAGAGCCATTACTATAAATCCTTAAATAACCATAAATGACACTTGCTTACCTGTAAAGAGTATAGGGATTTAAGGACTCATATTCGGAAGTAAACTTTCTTGAAAATCATATTTACAAGATCTTAAAATTAAGTGCATGACAAACCTTAACATATTAAAAATTCTGTTCAATCGTCATTGGGGTGCAGACGAAGACTACCTGTAATTTCTTTATATGTCAGTTAGCCCTTTAGACTTTAAACTTTTAAATTGCGTCTACAACACTGCACTTTGAATTTTCTCTGGAGCCTTCAGGTCGAGCCCCACAGTAAGTTTAATCCTCTGGCTACGTCGCCGGCAACTCGTTTTGAAATATTCTTCTCGAATTTTAGCTAATATTAAAATCCCAGCCTACAAATTACTAAGTTTAGATTAAAGTTTAATAGTAGAAGGAGAATTTAAAAGGTCATAAATTCTCCTTCTACTATTAAACTTTAATCTACTTTACAGTATCAGTCACAACATCTAAATAATATCGATATTTCAGCCACAACTCCAACATTAAGAGCACCTAAACCTCCCTCGAATAAATTCAGAGAAGATTTTAATCTCTCGTTAACTAATTATGATAAACATCAGACAAATCCATAATTTCCAATGTAAACCTTTAAATAATTAAATGCTAACAACAGATTTGACCAAATTGTATACAAAGATGCTTCGAGACTGCTAAAATGTGCTTCTTCATTTACTTTAAATACAGAATTAATCATACTTTGTAATATGCCACTCACGCTTTTCGGTTGTATACTTCTCAATTATTCTCTATTCTTCAAAATACAAACTCACTATGATCAGAATAGAAAAGTAGCTATCTTTTCTCCTAAAACTATGGACACGGTATATCCTTTGGTTTAAGCTCTCTTTTGATAATCTCATGACACAAAAAAACAAAATTTTAATTGGCCGTCTTAGAATTGGCCATCCAAAGCTAACTCATAAACAATTAATGACTTTCCAAGATTCACCTACATGTACACACTGTGGTAACATTCTATCTGTTGTAACATATAGTCGTAGACTGTCTCTATTTCAACAACAACAAAAATCGTATCTTTGAGTCGAAATCTACAAAATATTTCCAGCTCGCCAGATGAATTGCTAAACCTAATTATTAACAAAATCATAAAATAGATGGTTTAGGTCTGATTTCGTTACAGCGTTCCACCATTCGCTGATATGCACATTTCTGCCTCTTGACTTTATCAGAACGAATTCATGGCAAGCCCAGATTTTCGATATATGTTCTTATTAGTTGCCTCTGTTATACTAATCTTTACCAGAAAATTTAGAAAAAGAAATGTAGTTTAAATCCCAAAACCAGTAATTGTATCAATATTCAATAGATTTAATTTGTTTCTTAATCCACTGTAATGTTAATGTATATTCTTTTAATGTAATGTAATAAAATTTGACCTGTGGCCTAAGCTGTCAAGACACAAAGCTAAAGATACGAAATTCTATTACTGAATTTTGATACTTACTAAAACATTCAATTTAAACTCCGGTAAAAAATATTGAGACAAAGCAGTATAATTCAAATATGATCTAGACATTAAATTAGAATGTACGAATGAATCGGGTTGATAATAAGTAGTAGTATGTCGGTTGTCTAATGTCCGATAAAATGGATTCACTGATCTCTACCGGATGACATTAAGACACCAAATTACGAATAATTAGGTATTATCTGTTTTCAGTGTTATTGTATGAAATAGAGGCATGGATGCTAAACAGGGACATAAACGGCAAAACGTTTGTAATCTGTCATTTAGAATTTTTAATTATACACTGTACAATTTTTAACAATATATTTAAGGTAGTTTTTGGTTCGAATTGTATGCTCATAAATATTTAACTGGCGGCAAACATTATAAATCCTCGTTATAGGCACTATACATAATTAAGGTACTGGGTATCTTACGTCTTTGGGTTGTAAACTGTAAACCTTAGTTTGCGTCAGCTTCGCCTCCGTTTTTGGCCCCAATCCCGTCGCTAAATTACAAGTTACCTTGGTAACAAATGGACCCTTCCAGAGTTGATAGATTTTAGCAACGTGTGGAGGTTAGCAGAGACTAGATCCTCACCTAGGTACAGATGTCGTTGTGCAATGAGATTGGGAAACCACACAAAACCAATATCCCCATATCCGTGTTGGTTTAGTTTAGGATATGGATGAATGTTTGTTTTACTGTGTTGTGGAATGTGGATGATCCATATGGGTGATAGCATTAATCATTAATATAATGGGTTATGTCATTCCTCTTTTCAGGGAAGCCTTGTACAACAAAACAATGTTTTTGTTGAATAACAAAAGAATGTACAAAAATATTTAGATACAAATAAAAACCGAAGTACGAACGGCCAAAGAAAATTGGTTAAACACACAGTGTAAAGAGATACAGTTATTGGAACAAAAAGACGATACATTTAATATGCATAAAAAGCTAAAACACGTAGCTGGTCTTTGAAAATTCAACACATAGAGCAAACTGCAAGATCAATAGGGGAACATCATCACAGATAAAAATATCAAGACATCTGCATATGGACCAAATATATACAAAAACTCTTTGATGAGAATAGGTCTGAACAACCTTCTTTATACATGTAATGATGGATAAAGTCAACGTTTATTGTTTTACCAAAGAAAACAAAATCCGCATGCTGCAGTGATTTCCGGACCATCAGCTTATTAAGACACATTTTAAAGATATTCTTAAAAATCATACCACAAAGGATATTATAGACTATGCGAAGAAAAAATCAGTCACACGCAGTTTGGTTTTCCGAAAGCAGTGGGTACGATAGAGGCTCTCTTTATCATACAAGACCATTTAAACGATGTAGAGATGTGAATTGCGATATTTATGCATCCTTCATTGATTATTATAAAGCGTTCAATACAGTAACACAGGACAAGCTGATGGAGATATAAACAAATGTTGAAAGAAACACCTGTAATCTAAGGATTAGTAGCAATCTTTACTGGAATCAAACATCGTCTATCCGTACAGGAGCAGGAGAATCCGATAATATGAAAATCAAACGTGGGGTCCGACATGGATGTATACTATCACCCTTGCTATTTAACCTATACCCTGAGGAAGTCTTTCAAGAAGCAGTAGAGGATATCGAAGTCAGAATCCTATTTAACAAAGAATGAATCAATAACATCAGATACACAAATGGGTGGTATTCGTTGATGGTAATGAAGTCCTCCAAGAGTTAATAGATAGAATCACAGAAGTGAGTCAGAGATATGGACTTTCACTGGACATTAAGAAAACAAAATGGTGAACCAATAGAAAGAATAAAATCATACACCTACCGTGATATGAACGTCAATAAAAATTCGGACCATTTCCTAAAAATTAAATGAAGGATAGAGAAAGCAAGATCTGCATTTCAAACAATGGCTAAGCTATTCAACTGCCATGGTATATCAGTACCCATTAAAATAAGGTCACTAAGATGTTATATCTGTCATATACTATTGTACAGAATCTAGTCGTGGACTCTCACAGACTCTACCTGCAAAAAAATTGAGGCTTTCGAAATATGGCTTTTTTTCCGAATATTAAAGATACCCTATACCGACCACTTTACTAAACAGGAAGTTTTATTAAGAATGCAAATAAAAAAAGAATTTTTAACCACAATAAAAACAGTCAAAGTTGATTACCTTGGTCACGTCATAAGAAATAGCGAAAGATATAGGTTGCTGAAAATAATTCTACAAGAAAAAGTAGATAGAAAACGAAGAAACAAAATATAGATTGCCATAATGGTCGCCAATATCCGAAATGGATAGGCACTACAAGAAGATGTCTTTTGCGAGGTCGTCGTGTAGGATTTGTTCTTTTGTAGTTACTGGTTGTGTTTGTTGATAGTTAGTAAATACGGCTTGAATGTTAGGGCATTTATTAGAGAATGCAGGATGATTACTTTTACAGTTTGGACATTTTGGATCATTTAATGTAAGACAAACAGTCGACCTATGCTATTGTCCGCAGTATGAACAAGTAATGACATGTATTTAGTTGACCGCTTTTGCAATATCCCTAACAGTATTTCAGACGATAAGGAACGGTATTGTTCGATCGTGGGATCTTACAATTTAACCATTTTCTATTAATTCTGATATCGTTTGAGAGAGCATCAGCAAATATGGTTTCTGAGTTTATAAAAACTTTGACAAAGCAAGTGGGTCTACGGTTAGTAAGAACTTCATTGCTTAGGAAAACATATTTTCTAATATCAATAAATAGTTTGACTTGGTACTGTCGACAATTAACATGTAGTCCGACATAATTAACGATGTAGTCCTACGTTTTGTTCTAGTTATTAGTAATATCCTATGTCTTTTTATAGATTAAACTAAAACAAATAAGAACTTTAGATATTTCTTTATCCTATTTCGTTCTTATTCTACTCATTTCTTTTATTCTAACAAATTTAAATTTAATGGAGCTAGAAATTTTTACCATCAAATATTATTAAAATTATTTGTTTAATGTTTAAGTCTTTATTTAATCTTAAACAAATAAAATCTCAAAACTAAATCATTACCAAATAATTATTTTATCTTGGCCATTGAAAATGATTACGATAACAATTATTTAAAGGCAGGTACATTTACATAAAAGGTTTAGGTTTTAAATGATTATAAATGTGATGTGCATGACGCTAGTACTCAATATCCTATTAAACGTTTTTGCAGTTCATGATTTGATAGTTTCCATCAAACAGGAGAATGGCAGGTGCTGTAGTACCAGAAATAAGGATCCAGCGGCCTTTGTATGAAAATGATCAACTAAGACAGGATTTGAATTATGAAAAAGACCAAACTAATTGTAAGTAATTAAACATTTAATTACTGTATATCATAAATTTTTCACTGTTTTTAAATTAATATATTATTGTGAATAACATTTAATTTTATTGCTACAGAGTTTTCATTTATGTAGACTTTGCTCAACACAATACAACTTACATTACCATTCACTTTTATAAAAATCTCTACAAAAATAATTTTTCTCCATAACGAAGTGGCTTTCGTCTATATTTGATTGTCTTGTGCTAAGTAATTTGGAGGTCAAATCTTGATTTACCTTGTTCTATTGATATATTTCCTTTTCGTGTTTTTTCTTAATTTCGTTTCACATACTGTTTTGCTGTTTGTTTGCCTTCTTCTTCTTTCTTTTACTGCCATTTAGTAAAGTAAGCATTTAATATAAATAGCTTTACAAACCAGTGCAATTGTTTAATTTTGTAATTTTTATACGAACAATTTTTTTCCTACCGATATTTTTATAGGATGTATAAGAATTTTGCCTTAATTTTTTGAAAATTTTTATTTTACCGGTTTTAATTTTTTTTTGTTTAATTGTCCTGCCAAAACCGAAATAATTTTTCAGATTGCTGTTGTTTTATCACATTTTTTTAAATTATATGTGTTACCTGAAGATTTCTGTTTTTTATCCACCATGTTCATTATTATTACTCAATAATTTTTTTTTTATTTTCAGTTTACATATTTTAATTTTGTTTTAATGCCTGACAAAACTTCACATTTGTTACCTTAACGTTTTTGTTTATTACCGATTTCTTTATACTTATATTTTTTATTGTTATAAAAGCATTTTACATGTCAAGAATGTACAAAAATGCCAAAACTGGAAGAGAAACATAGCCATCTGAAAGTTTTATATTTATATTTGTCATCCCAAGTTCCTTCTTCTTCTCTCTGTACCATGTCCACGACTGAACATTGGCTATCATATTAGCTACAGCTCTGAAGAGTGCCACGAAGACTGATTAAATTAGTTACAGCTGTTTTCACATATTTTGCCATGAATAATAAGATAGGGGAGTCCGTATATTTCTTAGTGTCACATGACATATGCAAAATACTCCAATATTTGGATTTTTACGATTGTGACTATATACTTCTAGCTTTTTTAGACGTTATAATACCTCTTCATTTCTCACTTCTTCTTCAAGTTCCACTCCTATCGGAGATTGGAAATCATTATGGCAATTATAATTTTATTGGTTACTCGCCTGAATAGTTCAATTAAACTGCATCCAAACCATTCACGGAAATTGCGTAGCCACGAGATTTTACGTCTTCCTACGCTTCTTCTACCTTTGATTTTACCCTGCATTATATTCCTTAGTAGTTCGTACTTTTCACGTCTTATTATGTGCCCGAAGTATTCCAATTTCCCGATTTTTATGGAATTTAAAACTTCGCCTTGTTTTCCTAGTCGTTCGAGAACTTGTTCGTTTGTTTTGCGATCCATCCATGATATTTTCAAAATACGTCGGTAACACCACATTTCGAATGCTTCTAGGTTTTTAATGTTGGATTTTTTAAGTGTCCAAGCTTCAACTCCATACAAAAGGGTAGATAAAATATGACATCAAAGCATTTTTATCCGGAGCGATATATTGATATCGCGATTACAAAAAAGTTTTCTCATTCTATTAAAAGTTGACCGCGCAATTTCAATACGGCATCTTATTTCTTTTGTCTGATCAGTATCTTCTGTGATCCATGCTCCAAGGTATTTGTACGAAGATATTTGTTCAATTTCTGTATTATCTAGTACTAGCCTAACTTTGATGTTTTGTGCTTTTGTAAATACCATGAACTTGGTTTTCATCAAATTGATTTTTAGTCCATAATCGTTGCAATATATATTTAGTTGTTCAGCAAGGTGTTGCAGTTCTTCTAGTGTATCTGCCAGAAGGACGGTGTCGTCAGCATATCTTATATTATTAAGTGGCTCACCGTTTATTATAAGGCCCTTACTGATCTCGGCAAGCGCTAATTCTGAGATGGCTTCACTGTATAAATTGAATAACAAGGGTGATAAAATACACCCTTGGCGGACCCAATAGAGGTTACGGATGATTCTAATGTCTCTACTGTCTATGTTTTTATTTAATAAAATTTCGAAAATAAAAAGTCGATTATGCTGCACTCTGTCAAATGCCTTCTCAAAATCAATGAAACAGGCATATACTTCCTGATTAATATCTAAGCATCTCTGCGAAACAACACTTAATGCAAACAGTGTATCTCGTGTTCCCAGTCCTTTCCTAAATCCCATTTGTGTATTACTTATGCCTTCATCTAATTTGGTATGTATTCTATTGTGAATTACTTTTAAAAACAATTTCAAGACATGACTCATTAAGGCTATGGTGCGATGTTCATTGCACTCCTTTGCATTGGCTTTTTTGGGAAGCAGTATGAATGTTGATTGGAGCCATTCTTTAGGTATTATACCTGGTATACATATGGTATTGAATAGATCCAAAAGAAGATCAATAGATTCAGTATTCACAATTTTAAGTAATTCGATAGGAACTTCATCAGGCCCGGGAGATTTACCACATTTAGCTTGTTTCATTGCATATTCAATTTCTTCTCGTATAATGTCAGGCCCAGTATCATCCTTAAATTCTTTTGGTGCTTCTGTTCTCTCTTTGTCTTCAAATAGTTGTGCTATATATTGTGTCCATCTCTGCATTTTTTGGTTTATATCTGTTATAAGTGCACCCCTTTCATCTCTTAGTTGCCTAGTTTGAAGTGTTTTTCTCCTTCCTGTTAATTCTCTAATTCTTTTATGCATGTTAAAAAAGTCATATTTTTTCTTAATTTTTCACTCTGTTGACTCAATTCATGCGTAGCAGCCTTCCACATACCCATATTTCGAAATCTTAATGTTTATTTAATAGAGATTTGTTTAGTGAGCATTGAGCTTTCATCTGTGTACAATAATTTCGAGCAAATTTTGGTAAGTCTTAGTTTAGGTTATTATTAATACTCCGTCCTCATAATACTTCTGTCATTCGGAAGAACATTGCTCTGATCTTTTTAATGCAGATTTTTATCCCTTTGCTCATATCCCAATTATCATTTATATTTGAACCAAGATAACTGCTGTTTTCGGATTTTTTTTTAATTTCAAGATCATATGCTGTAATTATTTAATCATTTATCGATGTTTTGCTGACTACCATACATTTAGTTTTTACAGTATTAAGTTTTAAGCCATATTATTCGCATTCCTAATTATTATCGTCAATTATTAATAAATGCAGTTTTTCCGCAGAAATGGCAAGCAACACAGTATCATCCGGATATCTCAGTAACGTTCCTGATAACAATATTTTTATACAGGGTAAATCAGACAGAAATTTATGATCTCCTGTAATGACTTCATTCAAAAAAGATTTGTAAACGACACTGTTCAAAAATTGTAATTTATTCAAGAATTCTTGAATAAATTACTTCTCTTTAATCTTTTCAATTTTTTGCATTGATCCATTTATTCCAGTTATTTTATTATGCTCTAGAATTGACTGTAAATAGAGTGGCCCCCTGTTTCTATCTTATCTTACCTTTGGTAATTTTAACCACCTATCTTTCTGTTTATTTCTGTATCTTTTCTAATATATCTTATCCTATCTTTACTTATTCCATACATTGGACCCATTCCCGGTTCCAAAAGCTAGTTTTGAACCCACGACTCGCTCTCCACCAACCATCTGGCTGCCGTCCGCAGTGTCTCCATTGGTGACCTTTCTAGCACCATCCAAAAAACGTTTCCGATGTTACAACTTAGTTATGAAACGGAATATAAAATAAAAAACAAATCTTATTTTTTGTTGCTATATGATTTTTTATTATAATAAGATAATTTTTTAACGGCGTCATAAGGATTAGCGTTTAAATATATTTTAGTCCAGTAGTTAAATTTAACCAATGATCATAAAGTAATTTTCTGCGTAATACATATTTTTCCAGATTACAAAAATACAACAATATAAATCTTTAAAGTAGAGAGTAATTAAAGAGGTTTATTACTAATTTGCATTTATGTAGAAGCATAAGAGATTTTTGTATGTTGTATATAGGTCAATAAAAACCTTTCTAAATATAATTGTTAACATTGACGTACACGAACACAAAGTAAATATGTTTGCGATCTTTTAAAAAAGATTATTATCAACCGACTTTAAATAATTCCCAAATTGTAAATAAAAAGTAGTGGAAAATTTAAGTCCTAATACCATATGACGACAAAAAAGTTGTTGATATTTCGGAAGTGTTTCGAAAGCCTCTATATTTCCGTCAGAGCGGGAGCCCATTCTGTCTCCGGCTTCTATACAACATGTAGCTTCTCCTTAAAAATTTTAAAGTGCTTGTTTGTCTTAGTGTATTGTATTTTGTATTGTTATGTCCAAATTTTACATTTATGACATTCTACTATGTCGGATAGGCCACAACTGACGAAATGCCCCTGAAGATGATCTATTGATCGAAAGTACTTGGGCAAGATTAAATTAATCACCGTGTTCGATAGTTGCCTTGTATACCCTCAAAGATTAATGAAAAAGTTAGAGGCCTTTGAGATGTGGATTTATCGAAGAGTATTGATATTGTGGATAAGTTGGGTTGATCGAATAAAAAATGAAATAGTTTTTACATCGAATGAAAAAGAGCACAAAAATAACAAAAACGATAAAAATTCAAAAGTTACAATATTTCGGTTATGTAATAAGGCATGCAGAGAGGTATAACCTTCTACACCTCATAATACAGGGTAAGATACCGGAAGGAGAGGCCCAGGCCGACGAAGGATATCCTGGCTCCGAAATCTCCTAGAATTGTATCAAGAGACCACCGCTAATTTATTTAGAGCCGCCGTTAATAAAGTTATTGTACACTGATCAAAAAATACACAGAATACGCTAATTTCATCGAATGGACAATTCCTACGTTGGATTTTTGGTCAATTTAGGAGTTTATTGTAGTGCCGTCGTTGGTTTAAAGATTGATTGGACGTCATGTTCCGCTAACATTTTTTTAGCTTCTTGGTATTTGTCGATATTGTAGTTGATTTTTTGTGGATGCATATATTGTTTTATATTAATTGAAATATAAGCTTTAGGTCCCAAAGCGTGTTCAGGTTATCTCAATTCTTCCTCCAATTATTCAGCTTCATATATTCGGATGACACGATACGTTAATATGTTTATAACTCCTCTCTGTTATCTAGGGCAGTAATATGAGTTATTATTCTCTACTAGAGTTGAAAAAAAAACGGCAGTAAAAAATAATTCAAGACCACTTATAATTCTAGAAAACTACACACCATTACAAATCACTCAACATTAGATTATTCTTATAGTTTGAATAATACCCACTTATATTAATATTTGTTATGTTTTAGTTGTGAACAAATTATGTAAGGAAAAAGTTTCTCCAAAAAGTATTATAAAATCAACCATTCCTGTCCTGGGATGGTTACCTAAATATGAATGGAGAACGGACCTCTTATCTGACCTTGCTTCTGGATATACAGTGGCTATCATGCACATTCCTCAAGGTAAAAGTTATTTAAATAATTAAATACATTCTAATGTACTAAATTTCTTAGCATTTTTAACAGTTTTTGTTGTTTCCAGGTATGGCATACGCACTTTTAGGAAATGTACCTCCAGTTGTTGGAATATATATGGCTATTTTTCCAGTATTAGTGTATTTCTTTTTGGGAACTTCACGACATGCTTCCATGGGTAAGGAATTTATTTTGTTTCACTCATATTTCTGGTGTAATGTGACAGTTTAGTTTTCAAATATACTCAGAGAAGTTTGAAAATGATTTAACTTAATTTGTCATAGACAAACTTTAGAGATTTAGAAATCAACTTTAAAGAAAAACTAAAGAAATATTAATAAATTAAACATAAAAACGTCAGCTCCGGACGATTTAGACAGTACCCATCTTCAAACGTCACCTATTAACATTTGAGTGCAATCGGACCATCAATGTTTGTATAAATTACAACATTCGTGTAATGACAACAAAATGATAAAAAAGAATATTGCTAAAGCTAAATATGTGGCTTAGTAAGACTTACTGGTCCTGTGATCCGTCGGAAACATCGGTGAGAGGTAGTAGGTATGCGACTTTAACTCTGTCAAACAAACACAAATAATACCGACCGGCAGTAACTCAAACTTATTAGTTGTACTGATGATTGTTTGACATAAAATCGTCTTGTTGGTTACCATTTTATTAGTAACGTAGGTTATCACTGATACGTGCATGATAACCTAGTTGTATATTCACCTTCTGTGCTTTTTTTACATTTGTTCATTCGCATGTGTGTAAAATATGTGTAAACTATGGATACAACAAAATACTACACAACTTACTTAAAGGTGAAACATTGATGTTCGACAGATAAGAGCTATTAGAGACAAAGATTTTATTATATGACATTACTATCAAACTTCAAGTTTCCATCTTTTGCTTATTTTTGTAAAGGTGTAACAAGACTTTAAACAATTTTTTCCAGATATTTTAATCATAAATCAATCAGGTGTTCAGTTTCTCTTCAGATATTGTTTACGTTAGTATATTCCTATCTGTTTCTCTTTTTGCAAATCGCTTGTTCATTTTTCGCTTAGATTTGTTTGTTATATTTTATTAGGTGGGGAAAAAATCCCCCTATTGTAAAACGCTATAAACTTTTTCAAAATGTCAATTTGTTTTTGATATTTGTGAAATAATCAAACGCGAAATATCAATCGACCATTGAAGAAATACGATTAATCGATATACTTCGAATAGATAAATCGATTTACTTCGCATGGACGTAAAATAATTGGTTTTATTTTTTCCCCTTTATTGGTGCAGCGTGAAATTCATCGCAAATTTCATGGTCATTCAACAGCAACTGGACAAACACTGCGGCGTTTGATGACTGGTCTTAAAGTCACTGGGACAACACGAAACGCTCCCAAGGCTGGCCGACGCCGAAGCAGCCGTTCTGCTGAAACTATCGCTGCTGTGGCACAAAATGTCGAAGAAGAGCCCGGAACATGGACAAGACGATATGCCACGTAATTAAACATTAATCAGCAGTCCCTCTTCAGAATTTTAGTGATAAATTTGAAGGTATTCCATTAAAAAGTGCAGACAGTGCATTATCTATTAGCTGTTGATCGCCAAACGCATCTAATCTATGCTCAGGCCACCCTGATTTTTCATCCAAAATTATCATGAGCGATGAGCCGCTGTCCACTTCAGCGATTACGTAAATAAACAATATTATCATTATCAATATCAGCTATAACACCCGCTCAAAGTTACTGTGTGGTGTAATTGCTACGCTGGAAGTGCCATAGGCCCATTTTTCTTTGAGAACACCGCAGGACAAATGGCAACTGTCGACGTCGCGCTATATAGAGCCATAGTTACTGATTATTTTTTTCCTCAAATGGATAAATTAGGACTGGAAAATATATGGTTTCAACAGAACAGTGAAACGGCGAGTAATGCTTGGGTCACAGCCGATATTCTGAAAAAAAAAACATTTTATCCAGTCGCTTAATATCTTGTTTTGGCTAGATCATGCGATTTATTCTAGAGTTCTTTTTATTGCGTTTTTTTAAGTTACGGATTTACATCTACAAGACTCAGATTCTCGAAGTCCTAAGGAAAAGGAATGTGAGAACTTTTCGCCCGAAGTACTGCAAAAGTGATGGAAATGCCATAAAACGGGTCTGCGTGGTCATCAACTCCAGCGGCTGCCAATTGGCCGATATCATTTTCCCAACTTAATGGAATATATTTTAATGGATTAAATACAAATTTCACAAGCAGATCCAATGTTTTTCAATAAGAAAAAACAGCAAAAGAGTATCGGGTGATTATTTAGCCCCACCTGTTATTTAACTTATAGCAGTGGCGACTTCGACAGAGGAGTTGGAGATGCGATGGGTATTATGATACTAGAAATTATGCCAAATTAAAAAATAATTTAAATTAATATAGGATCATTTAGAAAGAAGATAATTCTGGACGAGCAAAATGCTGACGAACGAAATTCTTCCACCTATGTGCCTATGAGAAGCAGAGACTTCAACTGTGATGTATACGCATGTCTGGTTGATTACTAGAAAGCGTTTAATCGAGTACAGCACACCAAGATGATACAAATAATAAAAGAAGCAGGAATTAACAATCAAAATCTGAAAATAATTAGAAATCTTTACTGAAATCAGACAGCAAATCTTAGAGTTGAAGATGAACACACTGACTATGTGAAAATCATGCTTGGAGTGCGGCAAGGCTATATTTTGTCTCAGTTAATCTTCAATTTGTACGCTAAAAGAATATATATATTGAAGCTTTGTACAAAGCTGAAAAAGGTATTCTACTAAATGGTTACCGGCTAAACAACATCAGATATGCAAATGATATATAGTATTTGCGAACAACTTAGAAGACCTACAAGTTCTTATGAACAAAATCACGTATTACAGTAAACAATATGGACTCAATATAAACGTTAAAAATACAAAGCTTATGATAATTATCAAGAAAAGAATAACAGAAGGTCAACTCGACGTCAACCAATCCCTTGTAGAAAGAATGACGCACTACAACTACCTCGACACCATAATAAATTAAGAATAGACCAACAACCAGGAGATTAAAGTACGCATCGGAAAAGCTAGATCCACATTTAATCGGATGGGAACCTTCTTCAAAAGTCACAACCTCTCTCTTAATATAAAAGTAAGAATGCTCCGATGCTATGTCTTCTCTGTCCTTTTTTATTATGTTGAATCGTGGACCTTGAACGAAGACATGTGCAGAAAACTGGAATCATTTAAGATGTGGTTATATCGGAGAATACTTAAGATCCCGTGGACTGACCGAGTCACAAATGAGGAGGTCCTCAGAAGAATGAATAAGAACCAAAAGGTACTGACCACCATCAAATCTCGAAAGGTACAATTCTTTGGACATATTATGCGAAATGAATCCAGATATGCTTCAAGCCAATATGCAAGGAAAAATATTTGAAAAGCGAGTTCTAGGAAGAAGAAGAACATCTTGGATAAAGAACCTCGGAATCTGGCTCAATAGCCTGTGCAGCTATTCCGCGCTGCTGCAGATAAGATAAAGTTTGCCATGATGATCGCCAACATTCGTAACGGATAGGCATGTCAAGAAGAAGAATGTGCCTATTATCTAATTCTGATGATGTGGTATCTTCTGTTCCGTCAATAATGATACACTTGACCTAAATTTACATATTGCACCAATCAGGGAAAGTTTATACACTTAATAATATTGACAAAGTTAATATAATAGAGGGTAGAGCAGGTTTACGAGTTTATTATATGAAAACTACAGACTTACAAAACTACTATAACTTTACGCAATAAATAAGTAGCTAAGTTTACAAAGAGAAAGGTTTAATTTATGGTTAAAAATTAGAGTCCTTCATAATCATAAAATTGTTGAAATTCATTAAATTATTTATTAACTTCGAATAAAATAGAAAATTAAAATAAATGAACATAATAAATAACGTTATATTAAGGAAAATAAAAAGGATAGCAGTACATTTAAATTGTGGTATCATTCCAAAAATATATAAAAGTTACAAAATATGTTATAATGTTTTGGATGTAAAAATGCAAATTTGCATATTAAGTAATTTCGATACAAATTAAGAATCCAAAAACTAATATTTCTTTATTTATATTAAAGGTACGTTTTCAATAGCATGTCTGATGACAGGAAAAGCAGTACTGGAACATGCCGATCCATCATACTTTGATACAGCCAAAGATACCAACAGTACGGATGTTGTTATAACGGGCATGGGTTATTCTCCTGTTCAAGTAGCTACTACTGTTACTTTGATAGTCTCGATTATTCAGGTATGTACGCTTTTATACCTAATCCAAACAAACTAAGATGGTGGAAATTAAGTTTTACCAGACGACAATATTAATATATAATATGTGAATGAAACACAAAATAGTGCGATTGTCAACTGGCTCCTAATTTTGATTTCGAAACAGCTATTTCGTTGTGGTTTGGAATTTAATCTTTATTGTTACTGCCACAAGATAAAATCAATCCGTCTCTTTTTCTATTTGTACAATATTTGTCTTAGCCTTTCTTTGTTTTTCTGTACTTCTTCTCTACCTGTCTTCAGTCATTTCTATCGTGCTAGATTTTTTTCTAGTTGCTGTTTCGCAGTGTTTGTCGTACCATTCTTTTTTCCTCTTCATTTCTGTATATTTCCTTTTCTGGTTCTATCGAAGCTTCTTGATAGCAGGAGACTCTAGTTACTCTACATTTTATTTTTTTATTTGTGTATTGCTTTATGTCTTTAATTATTTATATTTTTGTATTCCCTGTTACTAGGAAGTGGTCAGAATCTGTATTTGCAACTCTGACATCTTATATTGTTTTTTTTTTTTCACTTTTTTAAAATCAAGATATAATCTATTTGATAACATTCCTTTGATCCTGGTATTAGTCATGTATTTGAAGTGTTCGCTTATTATAAGTGTGTTTATTGCTGCTGCTAGGTTACAAAGCATTTTCCTATTAGTATTCGTAATCGCGTGGAGAGTTTCCTTTCCAGCTACGACTCTGTTTATATCTTACTTTCCTATCTTTGCGTTTAAATAATAGTAACAGTAACAAATGTTAAATTAAATTGCTTTTCTTTTATTATTGCCTAAGATAGATGTTTTATCAATTATTATGATAAATATGGTCAAGGCTATCAATTGAATAAACTATTGTTACTAAGATAGGTATAAAAGAAAGAAAATTTTACTTCTGAAATTTATAATATATTACCTTATCGAGTAATCTTCATTATTAGGACTTATTCATAGTCTGTAACATAAATTTACTGACTCTTCTTATATTTATAATGTTGTAGGACCTCACTAGTCTGTTTCTAGCCATCATAACTGTCACAATTGAAGACATGAGTGGATAAAGGTCATATGTCACTTTTTTGAAAAAATTGTTTTATTGGTTTTTTGTGCTGCTAATATGCTGTTTAACCTTTTAAAATTTTAAAATTACTTATTTTTAGCTAATTAAAAAAAATAGGAAGGTATTAAAGCAATATGTCCCACTAAATTTTCGAATTCTAGTGGATAAAGGTATTATGTCTAAAATCGCGGACATATTACCTTTATCCACTCAAATTTTTAGTCGCTCAGCAGTTGGTTTTCTGACATTTGACTTTATAGGTTATGTTATGAAAATCAATGTAATTGTGTAATTTACTTTGTGCAAACATTTTTACAGTTTTTAAGTCAAAAAGTTACGAAAAAATTATGGAGAGTAGAGGAAAAAGAATTTACAGACTATATCTTCAACAGAAAGAAAAGAATACTGTTAAAAAAGGTAATATTACATTATTATATAAAGGTTCATATACATATATTTTTTAATACTTGTTGTTTTATGCAAAGTACCAATTAATGCTTTTTACTGTAGTTTTTATCACATACTTACAATATTGTTGGTTTTAGGTGTATTTCCTCCTAGTTCGTCAGATTTAAATACCCGTAAACTCAACGATTTATCCAATAAACAGTATTGTGCAGACATGCAGATACCATCGACTTCCGGAAATTTTGTCGGTAAGGGAATATTTATTTGACATTTCCAGCCTCGTTGACAAGTTAATATAATAATAATTTAAGATAATATTAAAGTTATCTAGTATTTTCTAATCTGTATTAATAATTATTTTGTAATATCGGTTATTTGGAGTGTTTCAATATCTCATAGACAGATAGACACTATGCATTGTCTAAATTTTAATAAAATTGTTCTCCAACGTTTTTAATATGAAAAAATTTGGTTTTGTGCTTTTGAGATATTTGGTATAAAATGAAAAAACACATGGATACCATACGTAAGCCTGGCTGGAAAGGTTTATAATTTCTTAGTAGTAAATTTATTTTAATTTTACTACATATAGTTTTATATTTTTAGAAAGCAATGAGTCAGGAAGCGAAGCAGACGGATATGTGTCGTCCAGTGATGAATTCGTTCCTTCAGGTACGGGCTATTCGGATGAATCAGACTACTATGAAGAAACCACAAACAAAATGTTTTCCAAAAAAATACATGATGCTAAACGAAACATCTTTTCTGAAAAACTTCCTAACAAAAATTTGTTAAATGAAAAAAAGGAACAAAACATGAAGAATATAGACAACCAAGCAGAAGTGAATGCTGAAAATAAGACAAAGAAATTTCAAATAAAACCCAATATTGAAGACAGTCAAAGTGCGGTACATGTTACCGCAGAAGGACAAGGAGCTGATGTTTCCAAACCTCACAGGACGGCGAAAAAAATTTTTGAGCTTAAAGAGAAGAAAGCTCGTAAAAGAGAACGCAACCCTGTTGAATGGAAGAAAAAAAAGGCAGCAATACAAAAAGAAAAAGGGTTGGAATATGTTTCTCAAAATGGAAAAATTATACCAGCAAAAGAAATTGAGGAAGATTTAGTGTTATGTAAAGCAACATGCAGATTAAAGTGTGGAACCAAATTCAGCTTAGAAGCTAGAAAATCTATATTGAAAAGGTTTTATAATTTAGAAAATAACGCAAAAACCTGTCTTTTGTTTAAAAGCATTGACATAAATCAAGTTTCAAGACACCGAATTCGTTCTGGAGGTAAAAAGCAGAAGTTAAGAGAATGTTCTTTTAAATACTCAGTAACTTACGACAGAGAAAAAATATCTGTCTGTAAGGATGCAATTTGTTCGCTGTACCAAGTTGGCTCAAAGAAAATATTAAATCTTCAAAAACAACTTAAACAAGGTCAATCAGCTCCAAGTCCAAGTAAACAAGGGCAACATACAAATAGACCTCACAAGATCGGTGAAGCGGTAGTAGAATACATTACTGAACATGTTCAAATGTTTCCAGCTGAGAGCTCTCACTATTCTCGAAACAAAAATCAGAATAGAAAGTATTTGTCACCATTATTAAATGTAACAAAAATGCATGAACTATACCTAAAAAGATGCGATGAACAACAAATTGGTGAAAAATACTTAGTTAAACTTTCCATGTATCGCCATGTGTTCGATACTAAATTCAATCTATCATTTGGATATCCAAAAAGTGACACATGTAGCACATGTGATTCTGGAGAAAATACTATAGAGCATAAAGAAAACTGTAGCATTGCATTTGAATCTCAAAAAGTAGATAGGCAAAAGCCAATAAGTGACAATAATATGTGCTACATCACAATGGATCTACAACAAACCATGCCGTTACCTAAGCTTTCAACATCAAGAGCATTCTATTTACGTCAAATGTGGCTGTATAATTTTGGTATACATTGCATAACTTCATCAGGATCAAAATCTTACTTTTTTACGTGGACCGAAGATGTAGCTAATCGAGGTAGTACTGAAATAGCGAGTTGTCTGTTTCGATTTTGTAAGCTTTTAAAAGAAGAAAATCCCCATATTAATCATTTGATCATATGGTCAGATTCATGTTCTGGTCAGAACAAAAACTTTATAATTGTAGGTCTATATCAATATCTCATTTTAAATGGATATTTTAAAATAATAGAGCACAAATTTCCTGAAGTGGGCCACAGTTATTTAGATTCTGACAGGGACTTTGGAAGGATAGAAAAAGTTCTGAGAAAACATCAGTCAATTTTTATTCCAGATCAATATCGTAACATTATCACGTCGGCAAGCACAAAAGGTAGCATTTGTGTAAATATGGAGAATTTTTTCTACGACTTTGAAGATCTGCTAACGAAGCTCTATTTATGTAAAAAGACAACAAACAGTTCAAATGAAAAGATTAATTTTCGTGATAATGTAAAATGGATAAGAGTGGACGAATTTGGATTCTATCTCTATAAGACATGTCTTAATGACTACATGCCATTTCAGCAAGTAGATTTAAGAAAAAAAAGGACAGCACATCTGACCAGAAGTGAATATAGACCAAGAAGACTGGAAAATAAAACTGGTGGTTTGAGTTTGGAAAAACTGGAAAATTTAAGAGACCAAATAAAATTTGTTCCCGAAGAGTACAGATGGTTTTATGAAAACGCGATAGAGGAAAATAAAGAAAATCCTAAAAAGAAAAGAAAAACCTACTAAAAAATTTATTTTTGTTAATTTTTCATTTTGTATTGTAAGTGTTTTTTGAAAATAAATGACCATTTTTTATACTTAACTCTTTTATCCACTGAACCCTAACATTTTTTAATTATTTTTAGTATGTGGATTAAGGCAATATGTCCACAAAATCTGAAATATTTGGCTTAAGGTAACTTTTTTTAAATTCAATTTAAAGTCTAAAAAAAGTACCTTCAGATACCTGTTTAAAAAAGTGCAGCAATGCAAATTTATAAAATAAATAATTAACTTGGAACAAAAGACACTAAAATGGTCATTACTCAAAAATATCATTTTGTGACATATGACCTTTATCCACTTATGTCTTCAATTTTTGTAATAAGTAATAAATTATTTTACAAACTAATAAAAATTCTCTTATCGATTTTTGTATATCTTTCATTTTAATTTGTAGTTAATAATGTTCGCATTACGACTTGGAGCAGCTACCAACTTATTATCAGATATGTTAGTAAGCGCTTTTACTTGTGGATCAGCCTTTCAAATTGTTGCAACCCAAATAAAGGATCTGCTTGGCGTAACTATGCCAAAAATTAAGGGAGATTTTTTGACAATCAAGGTAATTTATTCATAGTATATAAATAAGTGTCACAGTTGTTTTAAAATATCAATAGGTCTAATTTTGACATATGTAGCTTTTTAAAGTAAAACTTTGCTAGACATACCATAAGACAGAAAGAAGACAGATGGAATAAGATGTTTATAGTCTAGAGACCATATAGTTACAAACGGAAAACAGAAAGGGCACAAATGAGATGGTCAGATGACTTAAAGAAACACACAAGCCCAAAGTAGGAAGAGGGGGCCTGTGTCCAATATTAAACAGCAAGGGCTGTATAGATAGATAGATAGATAGCTTTTTAAAATAAAAGTGTAATTAAATATAAATACAACTTATTACTGATTTGTTTTAACTAACGTAGATAATTGGAGGTTTATAATCAAAATATTCACATTCTACTTTCATTTCAACGCCTGTTGTTTACGTAAAGAGTGCAAGAGTTGGTGTTTGGCAAAGGTAAACTGTAGATGTATTATCGTAACAAAAGGGTTATTCCTAACATCATTCAGTAACTAAGAGCAAGCTTAAGTTCGCAGTTCATCTAATTCGTCAACGAAAAGAGGTGTCCTCACTTGCTTTATACAGATTGAACGAAATAAATTCGGAACATAGGAATATAATGTATTTCGGCTCAATTCTGCTGTATTTGATTGGCCAAAAAAAGATTGTCAAATAATTATATTATATAATAATTATATTATAATTATAATAATATATTATTTTTATAATAATTATATTATAAAAATCCAATACTTCAGTGGGCTGCTGGATTCTGAACTGAAATTGAAAGCTACACATAAATCTACGATTTGAATATGCTGTCAAACCAGTTATAGTCCAGGAAATGAAGCATTTCACCTCGCAATTTTTTCGTGCTGCGTGGGTTGACTTGAAATTTAACAGAAGGTAGGTAATAGCCTAAGGATCAAAATCTATATCGAACCAAAGTGCGCCAAAGCCTAGGGGGTGGTTGCCACCCCATCTCCGGGGTGAAAATTTTTTTTACGTTTTAACTACAGGTTTCGATTAAAAAAGTGATTCTAGACAAAAAATGTGCTATACATTTTTTTTATAAAATGATATTTTTCAAGTTATTCGCGATTGAAAGTAACAACTTTTAGACGAAAAAAATTCAGGTTTTTAATCGATTTTTCGCGAATAACTCGAAAATGGTGCATTTTATCAAAAAAATTGTAGAGAACAAATTTGTAGCTTTTAAAAAGACAAATACAATTCATTTTTTAAAATGTTTTTGCGATATAATAGGAACTGAAATACGGCCTATCAATGTTCAGCGGTTTTCTTCAAATGCCAAATTTGAAAGATTCAAAGTCAGATATCGGGAAAATGATGCATTTTTGGAAGAAAACTCACAAAACCTTTTTTAAAGAGCATAAACAGACCTATCATAAAAAAGACTTTAGCTCAAAAATTGAGTGAGTTATGATGAAAATAAGGTCAATACCTCATTTTTTACAAAAAAATCGATGAAAACAACCCCCTAACCACCCCCATAATTAAAATCGATCTTCACCCTTCAGCAATTCCCTTTGTACATGTATTGTTAATACGTCCAAGAAGTTTGACCCATTTAAAATGCTTAGTTTTAGAAAAAGTACAGCTTAAAGCGAGAAACGATTTACAATTTCATATTTTTTACCCTTCTTTTTTTAAATATGCCCGAAAATACTGAATATATGAAAAAAATTAAAATTACCAAATTGTAGCTTTTTTATTTTTGTTGTACAATGAATATTTGGCGAGATATAGCCGTTTAAAGCATCGATTTAAGATCAAGCACCATCTTTTTCGGGCCCTTTAAACTCACCCCATTTAAAAACCAATGGTTCCAAAAAGATTTAATTCACAGATCCTTGTAGCTCTTAAAAACCTCTACAAATCGTTTTTGAAGAAACACTCTATCGTTAAAAATTAAAGGAAATACGTTAAAAAAACCAGTTAATTTTTGTCCGGAAAATTCCATTAGTATAGTACAGTACATTTCGGAGCATAGTAATCTACAAAACCGGTATATTAGCTAGTGGGGCGTTATACATTCGAAATTGTAAGCGTTCTTATTTTGAAATCCCATACAACAGAATAAAACATCATGTGTCTATGGCTTGGCAATAAAAATATCAGAGCAACAGATTGGGGATGGTATTCCAAAGATGGTTTGTTATTACCTGTACGTATGAACAAACAACCTGCACCCGATGAACTTTTGAAAATTACTTTTTGCCAATGCAAAAAAGGATGCGGCGTTTCATGTGGGTGCAGAAAAGTTGGTTTATACTGTAACTCTACTTGTTCTGGGTGCTCAGGTGAAGGGTACAATAACAGTCCAACAATAATTGAAGAAGATGAGGATGACATAGATCACGATGAAGATGTAATTGATGACGAATAAAATTAATATTATAATTGTTTTACCGATAAATGTAAATATTTCCAACTATTTATGTAAATGTATAAGAATATAATTATGGTGCCTTTTTATGTTGATAATTTTTTTTGTATTTAATTCTACTTTTTTCAATTTATATCTTATAAACTAGTTTATAAAAACTGCAATGTTGTAAAGGGTGAATTTCAAAAGTTGAAAAGTTGCAAAATTTTGGCAAAAAATTGTTTTTACCTATAGCACTCATAACAATTGATTTTTAAGGGTTGAAAATGTATGAATTTGTATTTTAAAGTTTAAAAAAATCACTATTTAACTAATCCAAACCAAATTTCACTCATCTTAAGATTTGTAATATTATTTTACAATTTTTGAGAATTAGGGGTAGTTTTCAGCCATAAGAAAAATCAGGGTTCATCGGCATGACATAAACTATAAAGCAGAGAGTGAGTTGAGCTTAATTCCAAATTTTTATGCAAATCGTTCCAAGGTGAAATCATTTTCTTTGCATTACTAATTTTTCTATATTAATCTCTAATAAGGGTCGCTTTTTAAGGGTTGATATATGATAGAACTTTATTCAAAAGCACGAAACTATCATTATTTAATTAAGTCAAACCAAATTTTACCCATATTCAGGTTTAATATGTTATTTTATAATTTTTGACAATTAGGGGTAGTTTTCACCCCTAAGAACAATCAGGGTTCGTCGACATGACATAAACTATAAAGCAGCGGGTAAATTGAGCTTAAATCCAAATTTTTATCCAAATCGATCCAAGACGAAATCATTTTTTTAGAATTAGTAATTTTTTACATTAATCTCTAACAAGGGTTGCTTTTTAAGGGTTGAAATATGATGGAACTCTATTCAAAAGTATAAAATAATCATTATTTAACCAAATCTTACCCATATTCAGGTTTAATATGTTATTTTATAATTTTTGACAATTAGGGGTAGTTTTCACCCCTAAAACCCTTCAGCGCACTTCGGTTCGATATAGATTTTGATCCTTGGGTTATCACCTACCTTCTGTTAAAATTGCAACTGGATAAATGGAGGACGAAAAAATTGCGAAGTTTTAACTTTTTTCGAGCTTCATTTCCCTGAACTATTATCGCTTGCTTAGACAAACCCGTCTTACGCAAACAACATTGTTACGAGACAGATAGTTGAACGATATTTTATACAATGTCTATACCCAGGTATGGATTTATTTTTGTCCAAGTTTTATATTGGTCCACTATTTCAAATGCAGTTCAAACAGACATGTATTAAATTGTATGTTCCGTTTTAATTTGGTTCAATCTGTATATATATATATATATATATATATATATATATATATATATATATATATATATATATATGCGTATTTACACTTTTCTTTTACCTTTTTAGATACTGAAAGTAATTTTTGAGGAAATTGGACAAACAAACTATGCCGCTCTGATTATTTCTGCAATCACAATCACAATATTGGTGATTAATAATGAATTCCTTAAGGTATGTATGTAGTATTTTTATTTGTAGGAAATAATTTATCTGGTGTGCCTATAAACTATTTTTTATTTTTATTTAATAAATTTTCATACTAACTTTTTCAGTAAGTTTATTAAAAACAAAATTAATAAAGTTTCAGATTAAAGTAATACCAGACTACTACCATAATCTTCATATGAACGTCTCATTCTTGCTTTAAAATTAAAAAATATATAATTTAATCATTTAGCGTGCAGGAGAAGAATATTTTATCTCCTGTATTTATATGGAACGATAAGGCATAGAAAGTTATTATGGCGTTTGATAATTAAAAGGGAATATATAAGGCGCAACAGTACAATTCGTCAAGCATTATGTGTATGAATCGGTATCATTAGGATCTTATAACGTTATTTTTCCTACTATATCGCGTATCTAGGAAGATATAAATTTTAACACAAACGATCGACGAAAGTCACTGCTTGTTTGATACAATTCGTGGAAGCTAAGAGGTGCCACCTATTTTGGTGACGATGAACATGAACCAGATACACAAAGAATGTTTGACGAATTGTACTGTTGCGTCTTATACATAGTATTTAATTTTGTCATAGCGATAGCAAAGCTTTTGCTGAAGTGTTAACTTTACAGTTTACCAATAGTTTAAAAGGACAGAAACCGATTTTGTTAAATCGTATTTCGTTCATTGTCAGCAAAATAAGTGGCACCTCTTGTAGCTTCCACGGCTGTATAATTTGAAATTTCACGACTTTCTACTACATATTTAGAAGCATTATATTGTTAAAGGCTAAAAAGGTTAAAGGCTAAATTAGAGGCTAAGAATTTTGAATCTTTTCTTAGGTTTTTTAGGTTACAAAAACTTCGAACTTGCAGATTACAAACTACTTTCTCAGATAGCCTAATTCATTTTGTAACATTCTAAAAGTTGTTTTTTTTTAAACAAGAAACAAAATTATATATTATTAACATTATAGGGTAAGACGCAATGATTTATTTTCACCCAAAAAAAAGGCTTTTAACGATACTTCTGTCAATTTCTTCTACGTGTAACATCATCAAGAGTTTTTTTTTAACTGTAACAACCAATCGGCCACCCTAGTTTAATGAACAAATAAACTAAAGATCGATTAACTAAATATAGTCGATCTAAATAATTGAAAAATTACATCGGAAAAAGACAAAAGTTACGCTACATACTTAAGACTTTACCTTTTCCCTCTGAGTCTGGTTATGTCAAACCATTTTATGCGCAGCATACAGATAAACTTATTCAAAGTTTTAATATCATATGTATTATAAATTTAATTTAATAACATATATGTATTTTAGCCATTGGTAGCAAAAAAATCATCTATACCCATCCCAATAGAACTGATTGTAGTAATAATTGGAACACTGTCCTCCCAATACCTAGATTTTCATGTAAATTATGGAATCAAAATTGTGGGCGATATTCCTACAGGGTAAGTTAGTTAAATATTTATTAGTTTGTATATATTGTACAAATATTTGTACAATATTTTATATATACAGTTAAATTAAATTAGTTGTCACTTAATTATTTGTTACTAGTAAACTATCTTTTTTGAGCAAACATTCTTTTGCGTAGCCAGTAGATTTATATATTCCTTGTCTTTCCTTTGGCCTGGAATACTTTCCCAGTAGACAACACTAGATATTTTTCTCATATTTCCAGTAGCTATATCTTTATTAGGGTAACAGCAATCACGTTACCAGCAATTACTTGTCCCCTGGTGCCCATATTAAAGTTTCTTTGCAATGATTCGCCAATTGCTTCCAAATCACACGTTTTTTACGATATACCTTGTACTAACTGTGAAGGTGTCTATATTGGGCAAACTAGTCAACTGCCTTAATCCAGAATTTGTTCCCACAAATACGACAAGAACAACACCACTGCGCTTACAAAGCACGAGAATAAGAGGAAGCACAAGTTTTACTTTGCTTCAAAAGTATCCAAATTTTTAAAACCAAGCAATAAAAAAGAAGAGGAAGGTATACGAATCAATAGAGACAAAAAGAAAGACTAACGTTATCAATGACAAAAAAGTTACGAAGAACCTAAATAAAATATGTTTTAATCTGATTTAAATAATTATAAATATAACACTATACAATAAATCTTAAATTTTTAATATAGCTCCACTTTGTTTCTTTCGACAAGAACACCAAAGATGCGCCTATGTAAACTCACCAAAATCAATTTTTATTCTCTGTTTGTTCATTAATGTAATGCAGGCCATTCACGTTCCGACTTGTGGTACCACTAAGTAGGACCACTAGTTGGATGTTCGTCTCCACTCACGCTCCGACTTTCTATCCAACTAGCGGTCCAACTTCAGTTCTAGGATGTATCGAATAAACACTACGCAAAATATAATTAGGAGGAGAAAAATGACAGCACTGTGCTTGTTATCTTTATTGTATGTTATGATAATTTAAAAATTAGGTTTAGTTTCTCTAGGTATTTGTCTAGGGCTGAACTAATTAATTTTTTCAACTCTTGATTTTTATGACTTTTTAAGATGTAGGAAAAAATTATAGTTTTTAAAGATTTGTTTAGGTATAAATCTATATTTTATTTGTTTTAAACTGGAGCTGGGATTTATTTTGTTGTGTGTGTGTCGTATATTTTTAATAGGAATAATTATTGTTTGTGAAATTGAAAGTTATTTTCTATTATTTTTTTGCGAACTAGGGATCTTTTGCTACAAGTATGATTTAATTTTTATTGTATGTTGATAATTCTTCTGTAGCCAATCTGGAGTATCGGAAATTTACCTGTATAGGAATGTCCGAAATAGATCTACAGAAAGGAAAATGATTTGCCCTAACAAAAAGGTAATTTTCGTGCAATTGAAAGTTTATTTTCTAATAAATATTTGCGAACTAGAGATCTTTGCGTAAAGTATTTCATAGAAATCTCATACGTAACAGGTGCCGAAAGTCAACTGACTGAGGAAATTTTCGATCCAACCTGTGATCCGACTTCCAACTTCACCATTCACGCTCCGACTTCGTCGCCAGTCGGAAGTCGGATCTTCAAGTCGTCCCACTAGTCGTACCACTAGTTGTCCAACTAATCCAACTAGCCCACTCACGGTCCGATTTCAGATCCAACTGCAGAAGTTGGACCACTAGTCGTACCACAAGTCGGAACGTGAATGGCCTGCATAAGTGTATCGCTTTTCGTGTTGGTCAATTTTTTGTTTTACAATAACATCTTGTTCTAAATCTTGTACATTTTAAAATATTGATAAAGGCTAGGATTACCTGCTAAAACGTTAATTTAAATAAAATAATAAAATAAAGTTTCAAATTGAACACTACATATTGAATCTAAACCCAAGAGATACTCACTTTATATTGTATATATATATGTATATATATATATACATATATATATATATATAATATATATATATATATATATACATATATATATATATATATATATATATATATATATATATATATATAAATATATATAAATAATATTTGTATTATTTTCTATACCATCCAAGGTATTCTTTTTTTAAATAAATTTCTCATTGTTATCGTAAAACTTTTAATGTTTCTTAAAAAAATTACCTAGTTTCTTCCCGTCACATTTATAAGAAACTAAATTTTCTTAGAAAGGTATTTCATAAAATAAAATATTTTGTAGTATGATAGTCGACACAATCAATCTAGAAGCGTTTAACACAAGTATAAAAATACTAAACAAATTTTATTTTTTAGATTTCCTCAACCAGAATTGCCTCCAATTGATTTGGTACCATCGGTCCTTGTAGACGGAGTATCAACTGCCATTGTTTCTTATGCCATATCGATGTCCTTGGCAATGATATTAGCCCAAAAAGCCAATTATGAAGTCGACGCAAATCAGGAGTTATTGGCAATGGTATGTATTAGCAAACTGGTGAATAATTTATATGCTTTTACGAGAATAGTCTATTTTAAATCAGAAATTTAAAGCGAGAATATTGAAGACAGTATAAAATAAAGCTGGAAACATCGTTTAAAATGATTTTTGTAGAAATAATATAGACAATTTAGTTTTTTTTACTATTAAACAAACAAATTGTGTGTAGCACTCTAACAATATTTCAGTACAGTATCTGAAGACATAACTAGTTAAATAATTTAATCCCAGAATAATACTCTTATTATTTTTTCTCGTACATTTCTGTATATTATATTTTATTTTTTAGGGTGTTAGTAATGCACTGGGATCATTCGTCTCGTGTATGCCGCTTTGTGCTTCATTATCCAGATCAATGATCCAGCAGGTAGTTGGTGGTAAAACGCAAATAGTATCAATTGTTTCTTCGATGTTATTGATTGTTACTATTCTTTGGATTGCTCCATTTTTTGAATCTCTTCCTAAAGTAAGTGTTTATTTAAAATGTTTTTAGTTTATTATCTTATCAAGTAACACTGCAGTACTATAATAGGAACCATATACCTACTACACAAGATGTAGTAGGTTTTAAATTACGTGTTATTCGAACATTAATATTTTCTATCGCCACCTACATTTTTACAAATATGGATCATCGAAAAAGCCAATGCGAAGCGTAGGTATAATGGCATTTGAAATGTGGTTGTACCGTAGAATATTGCGTATACCATGGACAGCAAATCCCACTTATAATTCAATGCTAGAAGAACTTAAGATACAAACTAGACTTATTACAACTATCAACCAAAATATACTGAGATATTTGGACATATAACTAGAAAAAGAGAAGGCATGCACCAAATGATATTAAAAGTCAATATAGCAGGAAAAAAATCTAGAGGAACATCTCCAGTACAATGGTCGGCCAAATAAAGGGTATAATTGATTACTGATTCTCCGAAGTAAAACAACACGCACAGAAGAGACAGAAGCTTAGACAGAAATGGTCAAGTGAATTACATGAGACCACTACATCATTATAAAAAGGAGAAGATGTAGGATACGTATACAAACTGTGAAGTCAAAAAATAAATATATACGATTAAACATGTGATTGAAGTGTAAAGCTAATTTGTAAATTTTACAAATTTACAAAGTCTTTTCCCAAAATTTTATTTGTAGTCTTTTTAATATGAGATACAGAGTTTCTCTTATATCAGTAAGCGTACCACTGTAAATCATTGGTGGTTAAAACCTAAAACCTGGTGGTAGGTTTTTAGCTTACTTTTATTCCTTATTTTGTTATTTATAATCAACATGACGTAATATTAGACAATGGTGTGGTTCCACAGTAGAAGAATTATTTCGCGCAGCAGCCGACAGAGAAACGTTTCAGGAAATTGTAAACATGATGACGGCCAACGTCTGAATACGGACACGGCACCCAAAGAAGAAGAAGAATCAACATTAAATAAACACTTGTCAAATATATAAAATTAATGTACTTTTACTTTTCAGGCTGTTTTGGCTGGTATTATCGTAGTCTCGCTAAAAGGAATGTTGGTGCAAGTAACTCAGCTTGTATCTTACTGGAAACTCAGTAAGTTCGACGCCTTAGTTTGGATAACAACTTTTATATCAGTTGTGTTTATAAGTATGGAAATTGCGTTAATAGTTGGAATAAGCTTATCACTTCTATCCATCTTTATTGCTAGTTTCAAACCTTACACCTGCCTTTTGGGATCTGTACCACATACCGATCTTTATTTGGATATGAATAGATACAAAGGGGTAAGCACTAGTTCTACTAATATGTTTATCTTGCGCCTAATATATTTTACTTTTCGGTTTTATACAAGCTTTTAATCAATTTTAATGCGCTTAATAACTACCATAAGAATTGCCAGAATTGCCAAAATGATTTCCAATCTCCGATAGGAGTGGAACTTGAAGAAGAAGAGTAACTACCATAGAAATTTATTTAAGTCATAATTTTTGTTTTAAAATTAAAATATTTGTTTTATCTACGAAGAGTTAAATCTTTAAATTTTAACTTAAATAAACATTGATCTTAAAATTATATACTTTTTGTAGGCAAAAGAAATAGAAGGATTAAAAATATTCCATTATTGTGGAGGAATTAACTTTGCTACCAAAGGTATATTCAAAAGCGAATTGTACAGACTTATTAACCTTAATCCTCAGAAGGAACTTATTTCTCGTGAAAAATTGGAGAAGATTATGAATAAGGTAATATATTTTTCAGATTTTTAACAAAATTTTAATTTTAAATATAATGAATATAAAACGTTTTTTTATATACTATTTGCGTAAACTGACATTGGTTTTTTAGTATTTAATCAATTGTCTTGATAATTTGATCATGAAGCATATTCATTCTTAATCGGTAAGGTGAAAAAATTTATTGACCAATACCTAGGTACAGTCTGCCAGACTGCAATATTTTCAAGGTCATAAAAACCAAAATATAAAAAAAATTCGTATTACAAACTAGACCTTTAATAACAATGGCATTAGTGAGTCTTATACTAAAAAATAAATTTAGAAAAAGTTACAGTTTATCAAAAATCAAAAAATGTGGCATGCTAAATTTTGGGTCATAAAAATTCGTTTTAAATCGATTTGGACGATACTAAATGCATAAAACAATAAGTTTTCAATGTATTTTCATTAGCAATAAACTAAATAGCATCTGAATAAACTAGATGACAAAACTAAATCACTAAACTTATGTATTATTTCTCTAGATAGATTAATCTTGTTCTATAAAACTTACACAAAAACTAATATTGCACTGCAAGATACCAGACGCATGGAGAAATTAGACGCATTAAAAGATATTAGAAATAATTAGTACTAGATGCTATACAAACCTTTGGTAAAGCTATAGTAGAAATGCTTAACAAAAAAAAATATTAAAATACCATCTTTACAAACAACAAACTACCATACAGAAAACGAATAGCTCGTAAAAAAAGTCAGATGGAAATCCTAATAATGAGTATGAATTCAATGCTAACAGTTATGACAAAATCAAGACTTTTAATATCATCACAAAAACTTGCAGGGGAACTTATTTGAATTAAAACTCAGATCAATTGGATTAAATAGATCTCAATGAAGGTAAGGGTTCAGATGATTCAACCACAGAAATGGCTTAAATGCGCTTAAAAGCTCATTTCTCAATGTAATATTATGCAATATCAGGTACTGTGAAAGTAGCTGAAAAATTACTCGCACTTTTAAAAATATATATTTGAGAATCCAAGGAGTACAAAAGAGTATAAGGGACAGTAAGGAAATTCTCTCTTTGATTGATCTTAAAGTTTATGGATTAAAATTAAAAATTGACTAAAACCTTAAAAATAATAGGTAAAGAAATAAATAAGACTTACTCACAATCAATTTAATTTAACTATCAGACGACCGGTTTCGCTTTCTACAATATGCAAAGCATCCTCAGGTCTCGATACAAAGTTAAACAAATGCTGAAATAATAAAAACCCATACTAAACAGACAAGGTAAGGCCCACAAATTTCTTTACCTTTTTGAAATGGACTCACACAAGCCACACATTCATGATTAAAAATAATATTGATATTTTACGTACATTAGAATTTCGAAAAAGTTTGATTTAAAAAGCTTAGTAGAGCTGGTGTAGCGCCTTTTTTTAACCAGTCCAAAACTGAACTGTACTATAATACTGTTGTCGAATTTTTACGAAATATCGAGGACATTAGATACCTTAATCTAGTTTTGTTATTGTCTAAATTTTTGTTTTAGATATTCTTTTTTCACAAAAACCTACAATTATTGTACACTATTTAGTAATTTTTTATTTTAGGATCTACCTCCAACTGAGTACAAAGAAAAAGTTAAAAAATTGGAAAGTAAAATAAATAGAGATCTCAAATGCATAATCTTGGACTTTTCTTCGGTGAGCTGTTTAGACCCATGTAGTGTCACCATGTTGAAAAATGAAATGGCCGAATTTAAAAAGCTTGATATTACGTTCTATATTGCAGCATGCTCTGGTAGGTATTTTTTATTTTTTTTTTTTTTATTTTTATTTTATTTAATTACTTATTTCTCAGTCGATCATGTGTTGTGTATTGGGGAGCCTAACGACATGCTGTATATTATTAATATGTCCCATAAACAATAAAGTTCTGATCAACCAAAAATCATTCTTGGAGAAGATGGCCGGAACAAAAACTAGAAACTAATCTTATGTCAACAGTATGTAAAACGCTAGGAACCAGAGCAGTTATAATATAAATTGCAAATAATCGAATAAAATACTTTGTTTTGCTTACACAAAGTATAGTAATTAGAAAGAAATAATTAACCAAACTAAGGCATTAGTAAAATAAACAAAAACAACTGCTAGCGTTCCCTTAGCTTTTTTAAGCTTTCGTTAGATTTCAAAATTTTGTTATTCATTCTTCATGTGGTTTTTAATTTAATCCTGCTTAGAGTAAATAAATGATGACTAAATACCAGTTGATTGAGAGTAGTGAATTGATGTCAAGAACCGCTATTCTATGATGCTACCTGTGACGACGCCATCTTGTGGCGCTTGTTCCGTGACTCGCACCTCAGAATTTTATTGTAGAGAAAAATTTAATACAACGCCGCTATAGAAGCTTCGCAAAATCCAAAGTTTTTACATTCGGACAAAATTCCAAACGAACTGTTGAGATATAGTTGTGAATCTACGGAAATATGCTTACTGAACTGAAGTTGGCATACAAGTGCAATGACACTTACTTAAAAAGAAAATTCGCCTCGTTAAGTATAGATGAATAAACCTGCTAGTACTTTTCTGACTTTGGCACACTGTTGCTAGATTTGTCTACAAAATGCATTTAACCATGTAGAACTTAAGGTCATAAATAGCCTACAATACGTATAAGCGCAAGAAATTATCAGATCCTATTAAAACAATCTCGGAGGCATCTCGGATGGTATAATTATAAACGGACAATGAATAAATAACCTGCGATATGCTGATGACACTGTCATACTGGCAGATAATGCTGAAGCCCTGCAACGCTTAATGGACCGAGTAACGACAGCCTGTAGAGAATTTGGAATGAAATTGAATACAAAGAAGACAAAAACGATGGTCATCAGCAAGCACCAAAAGAGAAAGGTGAAGGTCAATGTCGACGGAACAGATCTGGAAAGAGTAACAAGAACAACGTACCTTGGAAGTAATCTTGATGAAACTTGGGACCACTCACTAGAGATAAGAATACGCCTGGAAAAGGCACGTACAATGTTTTACAAAATGCAAAAAGTTCTATGCAACCGCCAGCTGGGCATCTCATTGAGAACTAGAATACTTAAGTGCTATGTTTTCTCCACCTTGCTCTATAGTGTTGAAGCCTGGACAATGACAGAAGCAACACAAAAAAGAATCCAAGCATTCGAACTCTGGTGTTACCGTAAAATGCTCAGAATATTCTACATGAGCCATACGACAAATGCGGAAGTCTTGCGGAGGATGAATAAGGAAAGAGAGCTTATACTTATAATAAAAGAACGGAAAACATAATATTTTGGTCACATCATAAGAAATCAGAAGTATGAACTGCTCCAACTTATAATCGAAGGCAAAGTCAATAGCAAAATAGGACCAGGAAGAAGACGCACCTCCTGGCTTAAAAAACCTACGGCAATGGACGAACATGACCCATAGAACTATTCAGGGCTGCTACAAATAAGATTAAATGGGCAAATGTAATGGCCAACGTCCTTAAGGATAAGGCACCGTAAGAAGAAGATTAAAACAATTTAAAATATATAAATATATTAATTCAAATAGAGAGACTCGTTATGTCCTCTTCTGGACACTTAATAAAAAAACAACAGCGGAATAGCCATAAATGTAAAAAAGGAGAGCACAGACTGGTAAAAGTACCAAATATCAACAAACTTTTAGTAAATACAGAAAAGTAAAAAAAAAACTACTATTAACAGACATATACAAGATCAATGTCTATTAATAGTAAGTTAAATGTGTTGGTATTAGGAAGATATAAGGGTAAATGTTCTAAAGACATTTTGGTTACTATTGATTCTTTGACTAAATGCGCTACATTATGCTTTAAAAATAATTTTTATTTCAATTAAAATCATAACGTAGCACCCAACATACTGAATCAAAATAAAATATTACATCCATCAAGATAACTCTTACTCTTTTTGAAGACCTAAGCTGACAATTGCCTTACAATAAGAAATTCCTAGGTTTATGTTATGTTTATTTCGTTCTGTTGTACAGATTAAGCTAGCAAACTACAAGATCAACAGGGAAACATCATGGCAAATAAAAATTAAGAAATATGCATATGGGCCAAATACATACAAGAAATCTTTGATAATAATAGATCCGAACAACATCCGTCCTGTACTACATATGTAATGACCACTTATCAATCACAGCAGATGAAGTGCAAAAGCTATATCACAACTAAAAGATGGTAAAGCTCCTGGACCTTACATTGCTTATGCTGAACTCATAAAGCTATTTGACAACGACTGTACTTAACGACCAACAAAAATATTTAATAACATACATTAACGGAGTAATACCAAGATCATGGCCAGCAAATACCAAGTTATTTCCTTGTGACTTTCCTAGGACACAAAAAAATATCGATATCAGGAGAGATTTCGAAAAGAAATCAAAATTTTCTCGCTTACTAATTTAAGCATGTTATTTGGAACATCGACTAAATTATTTATTGCCAGTAATCGAAACAGATAGAGCAATCCCGAGAAAAATGCAAAATATTTTTTTATCTATAAAAATTTTGTCTGAGAATTGTTGAGATACTATTCACAATATGACTTAATAATAAAGAGAATCTTTTATATAAATATATTTTTTGTATAAAGTGTCTACTCTTCTTAAGGTGTAGAGTAAGTAAGAGTGTAATATAAGTCGTAGAAAGTTGTATTTTTCTCCTCTGTAAATATGTCCTAGATAACTTGTTTTTCTGTTTTTTGCAATATTTAGGAGTTTGCTCTCAGTACTCACTTTAGCTTTATCAGTGTCTACATATTTTGTAAATATGATGGCTTTTGGTAAAAACCAGCGATATTATTACCCCACTACAGGAGTAATTTTTTGTTTAAATTTTTAATCTTGCCATAAAAAAATTAAATATTTAACATATTCTAAGCTCTGTTTCTTAAATTGCTCTGAACAACTATCATTTTTCTAATTCTGATTAAGTTCTTATGAACAGTTAATTTAATTTTAATTTTCTTTTTCTTTGCAGACGATATCTATAACTTGTTAAACAAATGTGGATTACTTTCAAAAGAAAAGGAGTCCCTTAGGGTTTTCCCAAGTATACACGATGCTGTGCAAGCTGCAAGTTATGCTATGAAAATTCCAATTGAGCTTCAAGTTAGAGTATTGCCAAATACTCTGATTGTAAATGAAGAAAGTTGAGACATTTCACATGATAGCCAGTAAGGGATTAAAGTTACATTTACGCTATTTTTATGAAGAAAGCAACATTTTAAACGTGGAATTACTCAGCTGTCCAACAGAACACAACTGATGTTAAACTTTACGTAAAATGGTTCTCAAAATGCAGGGATAAAACTCGCGTTATAGCGACGTAAACGATATTAAGATATATATGAAATTGTAAAAATGTATATAAATTATTTATTATTAGTATGTAGATAAAAAGTAAAGAAATCTTTTACATTATCATAAGTTTTATTATTTTACGACAATCTCCTTCTTTCAGAGCCGATCCCCTATGGATGTCCATTAAGTTGGTCTGGAAAAATATATTGTTTTTTGGTCTTATCAAAATGTTAGTTACTATTTGGATTCAGTATCCAACATACTTAAACCATGAGCTTCTTTTTACATGTCCCTGCTTAACATATTTATATATTATTTTATTGTATTGCTAGTTGCATGTTCTTCTAGTGCCTTTTAAAATGGGCGAAGAACAAACATCTATCACTAAAGACCGACCTACATTCATGTCAGCAGCATGGAAGAAAAAGTACAATTTTGATCTATGTTTTGTTCCTACTAATAAAAACAGGCAACCTCTAGCAGTTTTTCGAAGAGTAATGGACGACTTTCCACACAGCTAACACTGCTCCATGATCTTAGAGGTGAGAACCCATATCCCTATAATCACATCCATCCCACGCCCACGTTGGAATCTAAAGAAAGCCATTTGGGGTAGCTTTTCTGCGGAGCTGGACAAGACTCTAGGCTGGATACCCCCTACCATCAGAAATTGCAAATGATTCGTTAGAGCCGTAATAAGCACGGCCAAAAATCATATACCAAGAGGCTACCGAAAAGAATACATTCCTGGTTGGTCCCATAATAGCGAAGAACTGTACCAAAATTTCCTTGAAAGCGGCAATCAAGAATTAGCCCATGAACTGCTCCATAGCCTAGACGCAGCGAGACAACAAAAATGAACAAAAATTGTAGAAAGTCTTAATTTTCAAACATCAAGTATTCAAGCAGTGACACTACTAAGAAAATTAGGAAGCGGGACTCCCATAACAAAGAACAAAACAATAATTAACCCAAACACTATTGCCTCACATCTGCTATCGACATCTAGGGTCCCGAAAGATAAGCCACACACAATCAAGGTAAAAAAAGAGCTCAAAATTTTAAAATTCTAATCTGTTGAAAACAAATACTCTCGCCCTTTCACTTGCGAAGAAGTCACTATAGCTCTCAAGGATCTATAGCCAGGAAAAGCCCCAGGTTTTGACAATATTCATCCCGAATTCTTATTAACAGTGGCAAAAATGCGAGAGAATGGATGACTTACTTTTTCACAGATATTATGAAGACCAGTATCATACAACAGGAGCTCAAACGCTTCAAGATCATTGCAATATTAAAACCAGGGAAACCAAAAATGATAACAACCCTAAGAACTTCAGACCAATAGCCCAACTATCGACAACGTTTAAGATGCGCAGATCGGGTTCTTTCACTTACCACATTTATTAAGGCATTTATTTATAATCAACAGCATCCTAGCCGACCGAACGATTCAAGTAGTCATGACAACTAACATCAGCATCCCAAGAAAACTGAAGAATGGACTGCCTCATGGATCTGTCCTGGCTCCTCTTCTGTTTAGCCTGCACATCGCTGATATACCAGAAACCAAATTAAGGAAGTTTGGTTACGCTGATAACTGGGTCCTTGCAACAAGGTGTAAGTCATTTAAATAAACAGAAGAAATCCTTAAGGCAAACTTACATACAGTGGAAAAGTATTTCCGTAAATGGAGGCTCCAACCAAACGCTATCAAAACAGAGGTTTCCAGTTTTTATCTAAACAACAAGCTTGCATAAAGAACACTGAACATCCACAATAAAACATCATAGTACCTTGGATTCTTGACAGAACACTATCTTTCAAGAAACATCTGTCAAAATTAGCAGAAAAACTTAAATCCAGAAACCACATCATTCAGAAGCTGTGTGGCACAACATTGAGAGCGTCGGCTTCCACTTTGTGATCATCTGCCCTGGGCCTTGTCTTCTGAACCGCGGAATACTGCTCTGTAGTCTGGCTTAACAGTCCACATATACACAAAGTAGATGCCTAATTGAATAATACAATAAGAATGATTGCTGGTGTTATCAAATCCACCCCTACGCAATGGAACCCAGTACTGAGCAACATTCCACCACCAAAACTACATACACTTCGTCACTAGTGAGTACAAAAAGATACTTAGTACGAGATCCTGCCAATTCATCAAGATATAGATGCTGCCAACGGTAACCGTTTACGCTTCAGACGACCGCCAGTAAATACAGCACAGATGGCTGTGGAAAATTAGTTCAACTTGACCACTTGGATTCGAAAATGGATGAAACAACAAAATAGCATCTCTGCTACTCTGCATCACACAAAAACCACCAGGTTTTGACTTACCACGCAACACATGGACTATGCTGAACCGAATCAGAACCCAACATGACAGATGCAGTTACATGATACACAAATGGGGTAAACGACCATCCCCACTCTGTGACTGCGGACAACCCCAAACCATCTGTCACATTACAGAACAGTGTACCACAAGATTCTATCAAGACAGGTCAGAGGATTTCCTAATGGCGACTCCAGAGTCGATAGACTATATAAATTAGATGTTCGTTTTTATATATATATATATATATATAATATATATATATATATATATATATATATTTATATATATATATATATATATATATATATATATATATATATATATATATATGTATTGTTTTATACAAAATATATGTAAATTTAAATGTAAATGTGTCAAGTACCATACAATAAATAAATAAATAAATTCTAGTGCCTGCCCTTTACCGAATAGTTACATCATTTTGATAATGATAATTTTAAAGCGTTGTTGCTCTGAATAGTCCTGGCCTAGATATTGTGAACCAGTATCTTAAGTTCTTTAGCCAAGATATTTTATTTTTTGTCAACGTCTCCCTTGCCCTGAATTTTCTCTTGCAAAATAGAATTAAATAATTTATATTGGATTTCATTTCTTATATTTTGACCCAAATATTGTACGTTTTGGTTATACATTGTTGGGTATTCTTTGTTAAGTTTTGGAGTATGTATATATGTCAGGTGTATAAAAGTTGGGAGAATTCATCATCATCATCATCATCATTCAGCCCATACTCGTCCACTGCTGAACATAGGCCTCCCGTAGTTCACCCCACAAATTTCTGTCCTGAGCCGCCTGCATCCAATTTTGATGTGTCCGTTTCAGGTCATCCGTCCATCTTGTTGGTGGTCGTCCTCTATTTCTAAAGGCATCTTGTCTGGGTCTCCACTCAAGAATGCGTTTTGTCCATCTGCCGTCCTTCGTTCTCGCGACGTGCCCTGCCCAGTTCCATTTTAAGGTTGATATTCTTTTGATTGCGTCGGTTACTCCCGATCTACGGCGCAATTCTGTGTTGGGTATTCGGTCTCTCAGGGTTAATCCCAACATGGACCGTTCCATTGCCCTCTGTGTTGTTCGAATTTTGTTTGCGGACGTCTTAGTAAGTGTTAGCGTCTCCGCACCATAGGTTAGAACTGGCAGCACACATTGATCGAAGACTTTTCTCTTCAAGAAGATGGGAAGGGCTGATTGGAAAACATCTCTTAGCTTTCCATAAGCTGCCCATTTCAACCCTATTCTACGTATTAGTTCATTGGTCTGGTTATCTCTACTTAAGCGAATTTCGTGTCCCAGATATTTGTATGATGATGTTTGTTCTATACTTGTTCCAGCTATGTTGATGTTCTCACTCAGAACAAGGTTTGTCATCACTTGTGTTTTTGAGTTATTGATCTTTAAACCCACTTGTGTAGAGGCATGGTAGAGTCTTTCGCACATTTCGATGGCATGATCTATGCGGTCTGTTATCAGGACTATATCGTCCGCGAACCTGAGGTGACTAAGCTGCTCTCCATTTATGTTTATGCCCTTTTCGTCTAGGTTTGCACGCTTACACATGTATTCCAATAATGTTGTAAACAGTTTTGGCGAAATGGTGTCGCCCTGGCGAACTCCGCGATGAATTTTGAACTTGTGTGTATCTTCATGGAGTCTGACGCATGCCGTGGCATTATCATAGATATTTTTGATGACAGTGGTGTAGCGGTGATCTATTCGGCACTCTTTTAAAGCTTCTAGCATTTTCTGGTGGTTTACTGTGTCGAATGCTTTCTCATAATCCACAAATATTAGGACGAGGGGTTTATTGTACTCTATGCATTTTTCGATGAGGCTTTTAATAACTTGTAGATGGTCGTTTGTGCCGAAGCCTGACCTGAATCCTGCCTGTTCGCATGATTGGTAAAAGTCCATTTTGTTCGAAAGTCTGTTTGTTATGACTTTTGTAAAAAGCTTGTATATGTGTGAGATGAGGCTGATTGGTCTATAGTTTACGAGATTTGTTAAATCTCCTTTCTTAAACATTAGAATGATCACTGCATTTTGCCATTGTGATGGTGTTGTTCCTCTTTCAAGGCATTCTGTGAAAAGTATGGAAAGCATTTGTATCAGTTTCTCGCCTCCTAATTTTATGGCTTCGGCAACGACCCCGTCGTCGCCAGGTGACTTGTTATTTTTCATTTGTAGGAGAGCTTTTTTGATTTCATCAACAGTAACATCTGGTATGTCTTCCGAGCCCTGGTTTAGAACCTTTGGTATGTTGTCAGTTGGAACATTTTCTTCTGTTTTGCTGTAGATTTCGCTGTAAAATTGTCCGACAGTTTGTAGAATTTCCTGTTTATCTGTTATTATTTCGGCCTTTGTGTTTTTCAATTTGTAAATATTTTTCTTTCCTATTTGCTGTTTCCTTCTGAAGACTTTTAAACTTTTGTTCTCTTCTATGACTTTTGATATCTCTCTGGTGTTGTAGTCTCTTATATCTTTTCTGATGTTCTTAGTGATTTGTTTGTTTAGTTGTCTCATTTTTGTTAGATTGGTTCTGTATTTATCTGTTAGTTGTCTTCTTTCCTCTAATAGAGTTTTCGTGCTTAGACTTAGTTTTTCTTCGTCTTTTTGGTTTTTTGGGCAACATTTTTCTTGTGCTTGTTTCAGAGCTTTGACTATTTTCTGGTTTAGTTGTTCGATGTTTATGTTTTCTGTTTCTTCGTTTTGTAATTTTTCTTCGACCGTACGTTCAAACAGTTTTGCATTTTC